TGTGTGTGTGTGTGTGTGTGTGTGTGTGTGTGTGTGTGTGTGTGTGTTTGCAGATGACTGTATGAACAAAGAGGAAACTAACAACATGGTGAAGAAAGAGCAAATGTATTAGGATGCTTTTGAGACATCTAAGTTGAGATGTGTAGGCATTGGATAAGTGAATCTGGGTCTCAGAAGAATAGTCTGGGATATTTTTATCTATTTACATATATATAAATAAATTTTAGAGTTATCAGCATAAAGACAATATTAAAAGTTTCAAGAATGAATGTGGTCATATCACCAGCAGTACAGTTTAGGGACAGAGGGCCGGGAATTAGTCCTGCAGAATACCAACATTTAGAGTTCAGAGGGGAAAATGCCACAAAGAAGATTGAGAAAGAAACCAGACAAGTGAATTATCAGAGATGCTGAGGGAAGAGACTATTTCAGTAGGAAGGAGTGGATTGTGTTAAATACTACTGAGAGGTGTGGTCAGATGAACTAAAAAGCATCCACTGAGTTTGGCAATATAGAGTTATTGATGACTTTGGTAGAGCAGCTTTAATGGAATGAAGATAGAAAGGCAGGCTGCAGCCTGTTGAAGGAGGTAGGCTTTGCACTGAAAGTAGCTATTGATCTGCAGTTGGTCAGATGTAGAGTCTTGATGCTATGCTGATTCAAAGGAGGTTTATCTGGAATAATTTTCCTTGCAACAGCAGCTGCTTCTTTTTCCTTATGTATTATACATTAAATTTATTAAGTCATTTAATTCATAAGGTTGTTATGAAGACTAAATGAGTTCATAATATAAAATGCTTAGTGTAGTCTCTGGCACACACATGATGATTAACATAATATAAATCATGTTTAAGAAAGAAGGATTGTCAAAGACCCATGCAAGGTTAAAAAACAAAAGAAAGCAAATAACAAAAAACTCCATACAACTTGCAATTATTAACCAATTGCTATATGCAAGTCTACATACTTTATATTTACTGTTTCATTTAATCATCACCTCAATCCATTTTAGATATTAAGAAACTAAAGTTTAAAGAGACTAAATGACTACCATGGTCACACATCACCCAGAGACTAAGTGGTCCAGCCTCAAAATCATGTTTTTATTTATGCATTCTACTCCTCCCAAGCACAGAGACACTGGGAGCAGCTTTGTGATTGACTGTTGGGTATATTCTGCAGTTTCCTTGGAGAATTTGAACATATCAATAATTTGGAGACAGAATACCATGGCCTGGATTAAGACAGTGCCTTTAGTGAGCAGAAAGGAAAGGGAAGATATACAAAATCAGTGAGAGCTCTGCAGTCCTGTGCTTCTGATTTAGAAGGTAAAGGGGAATAACAGGCATCATGCATGAATTGAAGGACTGGTCAAAAGGTAATTTTTATTTGGTTTAGGTTTTTATTTTATGACAGCCAATGAGAGATAAGGAGCCAGTTTTATTAAGATTACTAGAAAAGGTAGGAGGAAAACCAGCAAAGATTTAAGATGCTTAAATTATTTTTTTGAAAGAATTGTCACTCACTAGTATATAGTTTCAGGTTTGTCTTTTGAATTAGTTCTCATCTAAATGCTTTTATAAAAGTTGTAATTAAAGTATTTTTGTTATATAGCTCAAAAGACATCTGACAAGAAATGTGACGAGACCAGAGTTATGATCTTCTCTTCATTTCGAGATAGTGTTCAAGAAATTGCAGAAATGCTTTTACAGCATCAGCCAATTATTAGAGTAATGACTTTTGTTGGCCATGCCTCAGGGAAAAGCATGAAAGGTTTTACCCAGAAGGAGCAACTGGAGGTAATTATTTTTGGAAATGATGAATATAAAAATAAAATTGATTAGCTTTGCACTTACGCCTTTTTTTGTTTTAACTCACTGGTCAGTTGGCTACATCTTAAAGATAATTTTGTAGTAAATGTATAAATAAAACTAGGCATATTTTGAAAGACCAAAAAAAGTGGGTTTTTTTGGATTTTGAAATTTTTTTAAAAAGTATAATGGTTAAGCAGAAAGGCTCTGGATTCATGTTATGTAGGTTGGAATCCTGGTTCTTCCACTTATAAGTTTCTTTACTTCCTGTGCCTCAGTTTTCCTTATCTGTAAACATACCCTGTAGAGCTATTGTAAGCATTAAGTGAAATCGTACTGTAGAGCCTTCAAGAAGTGTTTACTATTTATTTATCTTAAGTCACTTTAGTTATTTATTCCAAACAAATAATAAGCTTACACTTTTTTCTGTTATCTAAAAATCTTAACTTAAAAATATGGTCAGAGGAAACCATGGTGGTATTTAAGGTAGCTGTATGCTCTGAATATTCATCATAAATTTTTGAGTGCTATGATGTTTTGGGGGATATTTTAGACTATAGATTTTCTTTTGCGGTACGTGGGCCTCTCACTGTTGTGGCCTCTCCCGTTGCGGAGCACAGGCTCCGGACGCGCAGGCCCATCGGCCATGGCTCACGGGCCTAGCCTCTCTGCTGCATGTGGGATCTTCCCAGACCGGGGCACGAACCCATGTCCCCTGCATTGGCAGGCGGACTGTCAACCACTGCACCACCAGGGAAGCCCTAGACTATATATAGATTTTTATAAACTGTATACAGGTTTTTTCAGGTTAGCTATAGGTCTATACTTGAGTAGGTATGTCTTTAATGTCTAATTCATTTTGAAAGATCCTTTCTTGATTCTGTCAACATTAATAGATGAGGACTCCTATTATTAAACACTTCTTATACCAGTCCCCACTGTACTCAAAAGAGTCTGTTTAAGCAAACTGGATCTGGTGGAGAGAATCTAGGAGGTTTTCCTGAGTCTGAATGTAACACTTTTCCCTATCTCGAGTCTAATAAGTACTCTAAAGGGTTCAGGCATCTAGTGGATGATTATTACTAACGTTAATAATCACGTTAGTGATTAGTAATATCTGTGTGAAAAATGAAGTGAATTTCTACCTAGGAGGTCAAGCATTTTGAAATACCCATAGTCCCCAACCTGGTCTCTGGCCAACTTCATTATTACCCGGAGTCATATTTCCTGGGTTTGTCAGGTATCGTAAGAAACCTTATAGATTTTATTCACTTTGTCTTTTATTCACTTTTATCAATAATATTTTTATGTAGGCCAGGGTAATAATCCTTTTTATTACTCCTATACATAATTGCTTTCATAACAGGAGTTTTATTCTGAAATAAGCTTTCAAGCAGATAGTTGTAATTGAATTATTCATTTATCTAGAAACAAGTGATGAAGTCACAGAGGAAGTTGGGGGCCAGATTCTTTAGGACCTTACATTTCCATTTTAATGACTTTGGCTTTTACTCTGAATAAAGTGAGAAGAAGACCTTGGAGAATTTGGAGCAGAGGAAGGTCATGTCCTGATTGATATTTTAAAAGAATCACACTGGCTGCTGTCTTAAGAATAAACTATAGGGGCTAAGGGTGGAAATAGGAAGACCAATTGGAAGACTTATTAGAATAATTCAAGCTAAAGATGATGGTGGCTTGGACTAGGGTGGTAGCAGGTTGTGAGAAATGATTGGATTCTGGATATATTTTGAAGGTCAAGCTGACAGGACTTATTGACAAATTAGAGTGGGATATGAGATAAAAGAGTGTGAAGGCTGACTCCAAGGTTTTTGGCCTGAGCAACTGAAAAGAGTGGCTATTAACTAAGGTGGATAAGACTGCAGGAAAGGCAGGTTTTGTAGAGAATATTAGCTTGGTTTTGGACAAATTAACTTTGGCATGCCTATGAGATTAGTGGTTTTCAAACTGTCAAAACTGATGGAGGACCAGTTTATTTCCATTCAATACATCACAGATACCTTTGAACATTACTACAAAAATGAATTACTAGAAAAATAAGCTTAATGAAAAACAAAGTTCATGTCTAAATTTTTTTTTAGAGTCAACAGATGGGGAATACTCTGTCAAGTTTCTAAACTCTTACTCAAAGTTTTTGTAGTCTTGTCAGCTGGTAGTAGACAGTTTGTGAACCAATACCGGCACCAGTAATAAATACTTCATGGATTGTACTTTGAGTTATACTGTTTTAAACATCAAGTAGCGATGTTAAGTAAACAATTGAATATATGTCTTGACTTCATGGGTTCATGGAAATATATATTTGGGAATCATCATCATGTAGATGAGACTGGGTTGAATGAAGACATAGAAGATGTCCAAAGACTGAGTCCTGGGGAATCAGAATAAGTGGCTAGTGAAATGGGAGAAAGACCAGGAGAGTGTGGTATCTCCTGGAGGAGGAAGTGATTAAATGTATAAATACTGCTGGTGGGTCATATAAGATGATAACTGGGAATTGACTATTGGAATAAGAGAGGAGAAGACAAATGACCTTGAAAAGAACATTTTCAGTGGAATGGTGGGACAAGCCACCACTGAGAAGAGCTGGAGATAGCAAGTATACAAGTCTTTCAAGGATTATTACTAAAAGGAGCACAGAGATGGAAGTAGTTTTTTGTTTGTTTTATGTTGAGATACATAATAGTATGCTTATATGCTGATAGGAATGACCAGTTGAGAAAGAAAAATTGATGACAGAGCAGAGAGAAGAGTATTGCTGGAATGATCTTTGAGTAGTTAAGGGAAAAGGATGGGATCTAGTATAAAACTATGGGGGGTGACCTCAGTTAAGAACACGGATAGTTTGTCCAAAACAATAGGAGGGGAAGGTAAACTATGCAGGCACAGGTAGAGGTGGGTATGTAGATGTGGCAGTGATACCTTGCGGAAAGTCTTTTTTTTTTTTTTTGCATTACGCGGGCCTCTCACTGCTGTGGCCTCTCCCGTTGCAGAGCACAGGCTCCGGACGCGCAGGCTCAGCGGCCATGGCTCACGGGCCCAGCCGCTCCGCGGCATGTGGGATCTTCCCAGACCGGGGCACGAACCTGTGTCCCCTGCATCGGCAGGTGGACTCTCAACCACTGCACCACCAGGGAAGCCCGGAAAGTCTTTTTTGATTGCTCAGTTTTTGTCATGTCACCAACTGAGAGTGAGGATGGGGAGGAAATGTTGGAAGTTTGATGAGAGAGGAGTGAGGAGGAGAATGGGGAGAGTGAATGGATTAGGGAAATATAAGATTATTTTCAGATAGCACTAAGGGCTCACTCAAGGTGAGATATTACGAGTTTAAAGTGTAACGAGTCAGCATGGTTGGTGTTTTCCTTCATCCACATTCAACTGTGTAAATACAGACCCAGTGGAAAGTGGGATATAATCAGTGTTGCAGTTTAGTTAGGAATATTGGAGGAGAGAGAAGCAAGGGAGTGGGTTGTAAGCTAGAGTGTAGTGTAAACAGCAAAAAAATGGTAGGATCGGTAGATTATAAGAAGTCCTGGTGGAAATTACTTAATCACTTATTCCTTTCTTTGATTAAACAACTTCTGGTTCATATTTATTTTTCAAACTCTAGGGAAATTAATATCAATCCTAGGCAAATAAATAACAATTTAGCTTGTACCTGCTACTTTGACATCCTTTATTAATCTATTAATTATTTATATTAAAGAATTTTTTTTTTACAACTCTAGCTCTGGGCTTTTTTTTGATCAGGACAAAAAGGACATCTGTTTTAAGTTACATACAGGTAATGTTAGGTCAGTCTTTCCTTGGCTTAATGTCATTACAGATTACAAAGGGAAATGAATTATTCTTAACTTTTAATTATGACCACTGGTTCTCCCTGTATTCTGTTTTTCCATATTGAAGGAAAACTCTTTGACTAGTGTTACTGGAAAGGTTTCTAAGAGGATTTAACATGATAAATTTATATTTATTATCCTACTTTTAAAGTGGTTGTTTTAAACAAAAGAACTAGCTTAAGGATTAAGATAATAGCTTTTTAGAGTCAGAGAGACCTAGGTTTAAATGCTGATGATTATTATTACTTATAGAATAGTAGAATGTTTGAGCTTGAAACGACTTTATGGTCTTTTGTCATGGGTCCATAGCTATTTCTATACTTTTTTTTTTTTTTTTTTCTTTGTGGTACGCGGGCCTCTCACTGTTGTGGCCTCTCCCGTTGCGGAGAGGCACGAACCTGTGTCCCCTGCATCGGCAGGTGGACTCTCAACCACTGTGCCACCAGGGAAGCCCTATTTCTATACTTTTGATAGAGTTCATACTTCCTTTTTGTGTATACTCCCCTAATATTTTCTCCTGAAATTTACTTTTTAGATATGAGGTCTGATAACTGTCCTTCATACTAGCCATTTTGTTCAGGCATTCTTACATTTTAATAGGCATTTATAAAGGTATTAGTCAAAAGTATGACTGATTCCTCTGGAATACCATCATTTAATTTTTGTTTCTATTCTCTATCTATCTATTGACCATGATCTTATTTAATTACCACCACTACTACTATTCCACCATCCATAAACCTGCAACATTGATGTGTGTGTATATATGTGTGTGTGTGTGTGTGTGTGTGTGTGTGTGTATGTAGATGAGGAAACTGAGGCTCAGAGCAGTTGAGAACTAAGTTTATAAGGCTTAAGGACACTTTTCAAAATATTTGTTGACTTTTTCATTAACTCATTGTCATGCTAATGTAGTTTCATTAACTTGATCAGAGAGAAATCCTGGTGAAGGGGAGAAAAAAATTTTTCCTCTACCCTTACGAGTTCATAGCTGAGACCTCTGTAATAAAAGATTAACAAGAGAAAAACAAACAGAAGCTTATTAACATGTATACCTCATGTATGCATAGGAGATACTGAGGGAAAAATGAGTAACTCCCTGAAGTGGCTTAGAATACAGATTTAAATATCATCTTATGGGGAAAGAGAAGGGGGGTGCACAGGGGAGAGTAAATGATTTTTAGGGAAGATGAATGGAGCCCTAAAAGAAAAGATGGGAGGTATGATAGTTTGTGATAAAGTTTGTCTGGATGTAGTGGGCACTTTCAGTGTCTTGTTGAGTCAATTTTCCCTGGTTGATGAAACTCCTGGGGAGGGGATTTATGACAATTGAGTTCCTTCTGGAGGATCTGCTTTTAGACAGATAAGGGGAGTTCAGAGAAAGCCTCTCCCCGCATTTGCTGTTTTTCGAGTGCCTATAGCTCAAAATAATCAATATACCAAAGCAGCATAGGTTGGGGCAGCATGTTCTAAGCTCCTACAGTCATATTTTGGGGTGGCATATTCTGCTACCCTTCACTGGAATGACAGTATAAAAGAAAAACATGAATTCTATTTTTTTAATTAAAAATTTTTTTATTGAAGTATAGTTAATTTACAATGTTGTGTTAATTGCTGTACAGCAAGGTGATTCAGTTATATATATATGCATTCCTTTTTTATATATTCTTTTCCATTATGATTTATCCTAGGATACTGAATATAGTTCTCTGTGCTGTACAGTAGGACCTTGTTGTTGATCCATTCTACATATAAAAGCTTACATCTGCTAACCCCAACCTCCCACTCCATCCCTCCCCCACCCCCCTCCCCCTTGGCAACCACCAGTCTGTTCTCTATGTCCATGATTCTGTTTCTATTTAAAATATGAATTCTAGAAGTAATAAAACAATCTTACTTTAACAATAGTTTAATTATTAAACGTACTATTATTGTTAAATTTACTAACAATAAATTTAGGTCTAGGACATGATAAATAACAGTAATTGCTCTGGGCCACTTATCTGCTTTACACCCCTTTTAGTGATGCTAAAAATAGTACTGTGGTTTCTCATTCATGTGTAAATTGTTAGCAAAACCTTTTGGAATCATAACCATTATTAAAGCAAAGAAATTGGGACTGCCCTTTGCATTTTACCAGAATGTCTTTTGGCTTATATTGCCATTTGCCGCTTCTTTTCCTATTCGATAGTACTTTGGGTGCTGATTTTGAATCTCATTTCAGGGACAAATGGAAAAAGTATGCTTTGATCTACAACTCTCTTATACTTGCATCTAGTTATTTTTAAATCATTTTAATTTTAGGTAGTGAAACAATTTCGTAGTGGTGGTTACAATACATTGGTTTCTACTTGTGTTGGTGAAGAAGGTTTGGATATAGGAGAAGTTGATCTTATAATATGTTTTGATGCCCAGAAGAGCCCAATTCGTCTTGTGCAACGAATGGGTAGAACTGGCCGCAAACGTCAAGGCAGGATTGTTGTTATCCTTGCTGAAGGACGAGAAGAACGGGTAAGTAGACATGTGGAAACGTAATTTGACAATTGAAATTTGAGAAACAGAGCCTAAAGACAAGTATCAATCTGTTAACATTCAAAGTCCAAACAATCTGTAGGTAATTGTGATTGATTTCTGTTTTCCTTTGTATTAGATTCTGCCTGTTCTTTTCTTGTAATTAGGAGAATTTTTGACTGGATTCAGTCTTAATATTTTTATACATATAAAGAAACACATTTTTGTACTTCAGTATTATTTTAGAGACACATAGATACAAAAATCAATATGTATTACTTTGTGTTACTATTTCCCTGTGCTTCTAAGGCCTGCTTTTTGTGTTTAGTTGTTTTTATGTTTTTTAACTACAGTGAGCTGAGAATGGTTTTATTTATATTTTAAAGAATTGCCTAAATCAATCAACCAACCAACCAACGGACAAGAATATGCACCAGGGATAATGGGTAGCCTGCAAAGCCTAAAATATTTACTTTCTGGCCCTTTATGGAAAAGTTTGCTGATGCCTATTCTAAGTGATAAGGGACTTGAATGATATTCATACTTTGTTGTAATTTTGGATAACAGGTCTTCCTAAATACGATGTTGTATCAATACATAATATTATTTTGTGTATGTACACTAAAGTGTTAACTAACTTTTGTAACTGAGTGGGACTATTTCTGTGTCTAAGTGAATAGTTTTACATTAAAGATTTTTTCATTAATTGTGATAGTTTTAAAAAATGGATTTAAAATGTTTTATAAACCCTTTAAAAATCATCCTGAAAAATGAATTTTTCCCCCCAATACTTTTCATGTGATTATAGCATATTCTTATGTAACATCCAGTTTATCTACAAAATGATTCCAATAAATGAAATGTCTGGCAGCTTTTAAAAGTCTATGTATTATCACTGAGTGGAATTGGATTCTAACTAATTGTATTACCTTGGCAACTCATTTAAGTTGAGTTGCCTTAAGTGAGTTGTTAGTTGTTAGTTTAGATATCAGGTGTTAGTTTTCTTATCTGTTAAGTCGTCATAATGGCCCACATTTGGTGAGTACCTACTCTGTGCTGGACAGTGTTGCAAATGTTTCAAATGCATTATTTTGTTTAAATCCTGTCAACAACCCTGTAAGGGCAGTACTAGTGCTTTTCTTGTTGTATACAGTAAAGAAAATTGACACGTAGAGAGATGAAGTAAAAGCTGAAATAAGAGAATAGTATTTTTTTAAAAAGCAATTGACACTTATGTATAAACATCAGACTTAATCAAAAATAGCAAGATATTAATAAAAGACAGATTTCCTTTGTACAATATAGTTACTAAGTTAAGCTTTTATAATAATGAATTTTGAAATGATTTTCATCAAGAGTTAATTAAATAGGCTTCAAATTTAAGACAACAGATATTCCATTCTTCAAGTATTTAAGTGGATCAGAGTTTACTGTTTAGAATAAACTCAGACTAATATAATAACTGCTTGTCGTGGCTTGGTGATTATTATAGAAATAATGTGATTTGATGTTTATTTGTTTTTGCAGACTTATAATCAAAGTCAGTGTAACAAAAGAAGTATTTATAAAGCTATTTCAGGTAATAGGCAGGTCCTTCATTTTTACCAAGGAAGTCCACGAATGGTTCCTGATGGAATCAATCCACACTTACATAAGATGTTCATCACGCATGGTGTCTATGAACCAGACAAGCCTTCTCGGAACTTGCAGCGAAAGTCATCTATCTTTTCCTATAGGAAGGGTAAATAAAATTTTTCACATTTGAGACATGCATTTGTCTTCTTGTTGTTCATTAGCAGGTCACATATTGATATTTTTCTTCTATGAGAAACTCAGCATACATTCTAGGCTGTTATAGATGTTCACTTTGAGAAGGATAAGAGATGATTAATGTGGCAAAGGGAAGGAGACACTGGCAGTACAGAATGAAAGAAACTCAGTGTTGGGAAAATTAAAAATATCTTATCAGCCCAGAGAATCCTCTTTACAAATTGTGGAAAAGAAAGAAAATAGTTTTATTATTGAATAGGCATTAAGCCAATTACAGTGCGCACTGTAAGGAATCCACTGAGATAATACAAAGATGGAAAGAAATTCCACCCTATTCATCCAAGCAGTCACAGTCCTTTACATCATTTTCTTAAGATTAACAGTAACTTGTCCTCATATAAGAGGACAGCACCATTTGCTATATGTTCTTTCATAATTCATTCCAAATTCACCTGGTAATTGAGGTAGCCATTTGTGTTAGCTAGTTGCCTTTATCCAAAGAAATAATAAAACTTCTCTGCCTCTATGACAAGCAGATAAGGACAACTCAGAGAAAGGTGCCAAGGCTAATCTCTGCAGGTGTATGGGAGATAGGGACACTATCTTCCTTGATGTTTACATTTCAAAGAGATGGCTCCTAGGTCCTTAAGAAAATCATTTCTGGTTGGAAAGCTGGCTAGAGGCTTGCTTTGCCTTTACAACGATTTGCATAAATATCGAAGGGTTAAATAAAGGATTTAGGAACATTAGATATCTCTGGAATTGCTCCCAGAAAAAGGGAGGGGGAATTGTTTATTTCCATCTCTACAAAGGAAAAAATATTCTTTCTTTTTAAAAAAATATTTATTTATTTATTTATTTATTTGGCTGCACAGGGTCTTAGTTGTGGCATGTGAGATCTTTCGTTGCAGCGTGCAGGCTTCTCTCTGGTTGTGGAATGCGGGCTCTAGAGCACACGGGCTCAGTAGTTGCGGTGTGCAGGCTTAGTTGCCCTGCGGCATGTGGGATCTTAGTTCCCCAACCAGGGATTGAACCTGCATCCCCTGCATTGGAAGGCGGATTCTTAACCACTGGACCATCAGGGAAATCCTCCCCCCCTTTTTTTTTCAATTTATTGTTACACCAGATAGTGGTGAAGTTAGACTAAGTTGTTGGTGATATTGAATCAGTAAGAAAAAAATACTTTGGTGCCAGGGAGCATAGTAATGAGAGTGCTGGCTTAAGAACTGCAGAGATTTTGGTGATATCAAGAAAATATCTGGAACTGTTAGCACTATAAAAATGAGAAACAAAAACTTTTTTAAAAAATTTTATTTAATCTTTAAGGTAAGCTTTTAAAGAATCATAAAATCATGTAATTATATTCTAAGATTTGGAAGAAATCTTGGGGGTCATCTGGTCCAATTACTTAACAAGGTAGGGATGTTTTCTGTAGCATTCTTGTTAAATGTATATCCAGCCTCAACTTGAACATCTTTGTTAATGGAAATCGTATTCTTTTATGAGGGTTCATTCCATTGTTGAATAGTCCGTATAGAAGAAATCCCTCTGTTGAAAAAAACAATCTGGCTTTGTACCTTTTGCTCATTGATTTAGTTTTGGCTTTGCCAACTGAAAAAGAACGCACAATGTAAAAGTTGAGAATTATGTTTTATTTGGGGTATTACTGAGGACTGTAGCCCAGGAAGGCAGCCTCTCAGACAGCTCTGAGGGACTGGTCCAAAGAGGTATAGGAGGAGCCAGGATATATAGGAGTTTTTGCTGAAAAAGAACCCTAGTAGTTGAGCATCAAAAGATTACTGCTAATCACAAAAAACAGACGTCTCAAGTTAATGATTTTAGTGCTTTTTTATGTATGGGAAGATGCAAGAGTTTGGGCTCATTAAAATTATACCTTTGATATACATCTTAACTATCTGGGGCCAGTATCCTGTTTTTCTCCATGCTGAAACCCCCTTGGGGGCAGCTGCAGTGGCTGATGGCTTGATGGCCCCATCATCCTTTGTTTACTGAAATGGCAGGCGACTTTCTTTGCCAACAGCTTCTAGACGCAAAGAGTGGATTTGATCTTTGGTTTACGTAGGTGGCAGTTCTTTATGTATTTGAAGACAGTACCTCTCAGGTTTGTTCAACTGATTGTTCTACTGGTTTTCATTACCGTGAAGTTTCAAAGTTCTTTCCCTCCTAGGCACCTGCTTAGGACTTACTCACTTAAATTTGTTAATGTTCTTTCCCTTAACTCAGAGCCATTAATCAGTGCTTTTCGGATATGCCTATTAAACCTAATGCAAATCCACTTAATAGGAATATACCTGTCATTTTACAAGACTTTGCTAAATTTTGGGTTAAAATGAAAAGATAGTATGTATTTTGAATTCTCTTGAATTTATTAAAAACTTGATTAGGGGGCTTCCCTGGTGGTGCAGTGGTTGAGAGTCCGCCTGCCGATGCAGGGGACATGGGTTTGTGCCCCGGTCTGGGAAGATCCCACATGCCGTGGAGCGGCTGGGCCCGTGGGCCATGGCCGCTGAGCCTGTGCGTCCGGAGCCTGTGCTCCGGAACGGGAGAGGCCACAGCGGTGAGAGGCCCGCGTACCGCAAAAAAAAAAAAACTTGATTAGGTTGGCATACATTTTTCTTAGTGATCATTTTATTTTTATAAATGTATATGTTTAATGATTGTTTATAAAATGTTACTAGGGATGGATGGTAAAAGTCTAGAACCTGTCCTTTTTTAAAAGTTGAGATAATGTTAGCTCATGTTCATTTTTCTGTGCTTTTTTTCTTCCGTTTTCTCTGATTTTTCAAGTGTCAGTGATTCATCTTGCCAAGATAGTGTGTATGAATGTCATCTTCTGTGTATTAGTATATAATTAATTTGGGCTTAGAGGTCTGAGTTTATTTAAAGTGACTAGGAGAATGGAATACCTTTCTACTTCAAAAGCCTTAGCGCCTCAGATTGCTAAATCTGAAAGGGACCTGAGAGATCACCTAGTTCAAACCCCTTATTTTATAAAAGCTTTCTATATAATATTTGGGACTAGCTTAGACAGAAGCTTCCTGATTCCTAATTCAGTAGTCTTTCTGATTTTTTTTTTTCTGCCCTCATCTGTATTGGGACCAGAGTTATAGGTTTGTATTTTTTATCCTTTCCATGTTGGTGATTGTTTTCCTTCATAAAGATTATGGAAATTTAAAAAAGGGTTAATTTACGATACATTTTTTAAAAAGTATATTATTATGTCATTATTTAAAGCAGTAGGTCTTTCCTATCCCCTTTCAACCCCCCCCCACCCCATTTAAGACTTTAGTCTTGGCATCTCCCCCACCCCCACACCAGTTTCAGATAACTTTTCCGATAATGTTATGCTAGAATCATGATACTAGTTTTCATCTGTGAGTTATCTGTTTCCTGCCAGGTCTTAGACAACAAAATGGAGAGAGTCCAAAAGAAACCAGGACTGAGAGCCTAGCTGCCTGGTGATGTTTTGCTAATAAAGTCATTACCAAAGGTTAGCTCTAGGAAGGGTGCACTAGTACTTTCAAAGAGGTGAGAGAAGTTTAGGAGATATGTAGAAGCAGGAAGTGATAACCAGAGTGTTTATATGAAGAACACTAATTTTAAGGTATAGAATCAGTGGTTTAGCAGAGATGAGTAGACATAAACAGGTAGAACGTTTGAGTTGATGTCATATATTTTGTGTTTGCCTGGCAGATTTTTTTAAACCTCTTTTCAATTATTTTTTAAACTTATAGGAATGAGGCAGAGTAATTCAAAGAATGATTGGTTCTTATCAGAAGAAGAATTTAAATTATGGAACAGACGATATAGATTAAGAGACACTGATGAAATTAAGGAAATAACATTGCCTCAAGTTCAGTTTCTATCTTTACAGAATGAGGAGAACAGACCAGTAAGTTGAACATGTTTTCAGATGCTTTTTATAGCGACTGTGCAATAGCTTTGGAAGTAAAGAGAATGAATGTTCATGATCAGAATGTCAACTTATGTAAAAATTAAGAATGTAAGCAGTGTAAAAAAGAATATTAAAGTCTAATTTGGTAAAACTACTAATTTTCTTGTATTCCTTATTGTATATATATTTTTACATGACTAATATATTTACATAAGTTCTGACTTTTCTTATTACTTTCTGCATATGAACATGTCTGTGTAGGTGTAATTTATATGATTGTTATGTTGCTCTGCAATATACCATAATTTGGCTCTTTCCCTGTCATGTTTTAGAATTATTTTCAGTATATTACTAATATAAAATTAGGCTGTCATGAGCATCTTTGTATAAACTTGTTTTCAATTTTTGTTTTGAAATTACAGTAAAACTTTAAATTGGATCTTAGATTTGTTTATTTTGTTTACTATGAACAGATTATTGATGAACTTAATGAAAGTCAAGAGAATTGAGCAAAGGTTACATATGAACCTAGAGAACTAGAAAAACAACCTCAAGGAAGATTCCTTTGGGAAGATTTATAGGGCTAGAAATATATGGCTCTTGAGAATTTGTATTTTATTCACTAACAGGGAAAGTGAGAAATGGCAGTAGGCATGAAGAATTGGGATCAGTATCACTGAGAGATTATGACTGCCTCTTTATTAGATTATAGAATATAAATCTAGCATAATAGTAATTTTGAAGCCACACATTTTCTTAAATATTTGCTCTTAACATGGGACTATATAAACAGGAATATGGCGAACTAGTAACTCATATAACATTTATTTATTTGTGTATTTCATTTTTAATGACATTTATTGTTTTCTTTCTAATTTTAAAAGCAATACATGTAACAGTTATTTTAAAAATGTGTTTAAAAGGACATCTTTGTACTTTATAAAAGTATTTTCTTTTTTCTCCTGAGATTTTAGTTGAAAATACCTAAATGAATTAAAATTATTTATGGTAGGCTATCTGTATATTAAGTATTTTTTTAATCAGTGTGTGAAATCTGAGTATGTGTGTTTTTATTATGTTAAATTTATCATTAATCAAGACTCAAGAACCAACCACTGGAATTCATCAACTCTCTCTCTCTGAATGGAGACTGTGGCAGGATCATCCTTTACCTACATATCAAGTTGACCATTCAGATCGATGTCACCATTTCGTAAACATTATGCAAATGATAGAAGGAATGAGACATGAAGAGGTAGGGTTCTACTGTAACTTTCTCTTGCTGGTATGCCAGTGAAACTAGAATACTTAATCTTTATTCTTCTTAATTTGAAGTCTTTATTATAAGAAACAAGTATTTATTATAAATATTCATAGCTAGACTATTTTTGTTTTTCTATATAGCTTCTTGTGATCTCAGTGAGGAGCTAGTTTTCTGTCTTAGGAGAAGTAGACCTAGTTAGAAGAATGTCATCTGTGAATATTGATAGACCAGAGTAAAATTTTAATATATTTAATGATTTAAAAAAATTTTCTTTTATTTAAAATTTTTTTTGGGCCATGCTGCATGGCTTGCAGGATCTTAATTCCCTGACCAGGGATTGAACCTGGGCCCCAGCAGTGAAAGCATTGAGCCCTAACCAATAGACCTCCAGGGAATTCCCATTTAATGATTTATATAAACTGTTTGTAAAGCTAATTTAGGATTATTGTTAGATTGGGATCTGCATAAATGTTCTCTATCATATAGGTTATTTGGTATGTCTCTTTTATCCTGGTGGTAGTTTAGAGATTTAGTGATTTCTTGAGCAGTTTCCTGATTATTCTTCCTTGAGAGAGTCAGAATGATGAACGTATTATGAGTGTGAAATCCAAAATGCCTGGGTTAGAAGCCCAACTTTACCTCTTACTAATTGTGCATCTGTAAGTTACTTAACCTCTTTGTGCCTCAGTTTTATCTGTAAAATGGGGATAATGATAATACTTTCTTCATAAGATTGTTGTGAGGATTAAGTGGCTTAATACACATAAAGCAATTAGAATAGAAACTGGCACATAGTAATTACTCAATAGATTGTAGCTGCTATTTTTATTAGCTGTTGTTCATGAATACATGTAAATAAAGTAATTATTTTTGGACCCCAGCAAAGCCTATGCATCAAAGTAACACATTTATTTAGTGCCTTCTACATGGCATGGTTTGTTCTAGGCCCTGTGGCTACATTGGTGAAGAAGTCAGATAAAACTTTCTATAGGGAGCATATATCCTAGCAGGGAGACAGACATTTTCACATTAATATTTACTGTATTTATTATTCAAATACAATAAGCAATACTTAATTGCTTAAGTCCCTGAAGAGTAGAAGAATCCTGACTAAAGTGGCATTCATGGGCAAGAGGGAAGGATGAGTCAGGGATGGTGGGGACTGTAGTTTTAGATTTAGAGATAAGTAAGACTTGGAAATTCACTAGAAGTGTTCTTAGGAAATTTGTTAAAAACAGTATATTCTAGCTTACAGCCTAGAAGACATACAGGTACCATTATTTCAGATGTTTCAAAAGCTGTTCTTAGTTTACCTTCATCAAGAGAGTAAATTTAACATACATATGTGTGTTTTTCATTTATATATATTAATTTCTTAAATATCTACTTTTAGAAAATTAGAATAATTGTTCAATTAAATGTCAGAAGTGAAAAAAGTGTTTATAATCATATTCTATGTATTAATTTGTACTTTCTCCAAATAGTTATCATGGGTCTCTCATGTACTGGGTACTGGGAATACAAAAATATTAACTGATAAAAGATAATTTATGATAATTTTGCAGTAGTGTCATTTCTATTTTGTTTGACTTGGAATAAGTTTTTAAGGTATAAAAGATCATTTGAATAATGTAATATTGTTTAGAAAATATTTTAGCAGAGTAAAACTCATCTTTAGAATTTTTTTTTTCTGTTTTCCTATGAATTTTTCATTTTCCTTCTTTATAGGGAGAATGCAGCTATGAATTGGAAATTAAATCTTATTTACAAACGGAAGATGTTAGCTCAACATCTAGTGCTCCCAGGAATGAATATAATCCTTTTGCCAATGGCATCTTTACTAGTAACAAGAAATCTTCATTTACAAAGAATATAAATCAAGGCAAATCACTCTCAATAACGGAATCTGATGAAGAATGTGCTGAAATTTTTAAACAAATTCGTATCAAACCAACTGAAATTGCTTCTCTAAAAAAAAAAGCTTCCAAAGAACTGAAAAAAGATCAACCTAAAAAAGAACATAAGGAGATTGTTATGGGGCCTTTAGATACTGATGGCAGTTCTACTGCTAAAAATATTTTTCAGGTAGACCTACTAAATGATAAAAGAGTATCAGATACAGATGAAGTTGCTGCCACATGTGCTATCAGTGAAAATGTAGGTAATCGATCATGTGGATTATTAGCAGATTGTCAGTTTACAAATAAATCTACTAGTTCATTTACTGGAAAATTTTTAGATTCTGGTTATAACAGTTTCAGTGATGAGAAATCTCTTTCATCTAGCTTATTTTTTCCATTTGAGGATGAGCTTTATATAGCTAGAACAGATGACAAATTTTATAATTGTCATTCATTAACAAAAGAGGTGCTAGCTAATGTAGAGAGATTTTTATCTCATTCTCCTCCGCCTCTTAGTGCACTCTCAAATTTGGAATATGAAATTTCTAAGGGTTCTGCACTTGAGAACTTGCTTTTTGTACCCTACACAGAGTGTTTACAAAATGACAAATCCACTTGTTTGATGTCACATTCAACTATAAATTCTCAACAGAATTTAGAATTGAGTTCACTTAAATTTATTACTCATCCTTCTGAAAAAAGTTGTCTTTATGGTACAATTAATGATAAGATTTCTGCTGAACCAAGCTTCTGTTACTATAATAAAGTACATAAAGATATTAAAAATGAACATTTAGTATCCAACCATCATATTCAAATAAACACTGGCCCTCCAAAGTATTTTGTTGAAGAAAAGAATCATGATGTTGATAACAGTGGCCCCCCAATATTGCATACTGATCAGGATGAGAGTTTGCTATTATTTGAGGATGTTAATACAGAGTGTAATGATGTGAACCTTCCTCCCTTGAACAGTAAATGCAAATCTTTATGTGTGTCAGACAAAACTGCTCTAAGTGAAATGGCACTGGGCTCTCAGTTCTTAATTTCTGATGAACTTTTGTTAGGCAATAATTCTGAACCCCAAGATCAAATTATCGGTGATACGAATAGTTGGAAATCTCATGAAGATTTGAGAGGTGTACATGAGGAAAAACTGAAGAATGATGAATATGGTTTTGACTGCTCTAAGGATTTATTTTCTGTTACCTTTGATTTAGGATTTTGTAGTCCAGATACTGATGATGAAATACTAGAACATGCATCAGATACAAATAAGAATAAAATTTTAGATGATCTATCTGGAGGGTGTTTAGACATTAAGGAGATAAATGATGCGAATTATGTTTCAAATCAAGCAGTAATATCAAGAGACCATGTTGATAGTTCTACGAGTGAAACCATTACTAACCCATCAAGTGAAGATAAGCGGAGTCCAACTTTTGCATGTTTTCCAATGAATGCAACAAAAAATAAAGAATTTATGTCTCCTGGTTATTCTCAATTTTCATTGCCAGTAAGAGAGAAAGTTATGAGTACACCACTTTCTCAATCAAACACGGCGAACTTATTTTCTAAGAAGAGAATAGAAATGGCTAGGAAGTCAGATTCCAATAAGGGAAAAATAAATCTACAAAGTTTCAAAGAAACATTGAATTCAACTTTCGATGATTTGGGACTTTCTATAGAAAAGGCTAACAGCAGGGAACAAATCAATCTGCATCAATCCTGCCATTCTGCTAAAGGTAAGATTCCATCTTTATAAAATACAAATCTTTCTAGAATGATTACTTTGGATCATATTCTATAATTTTTCAAATGTAGTTTCTCAGTATATGGTGTATTGAATTAGGTAATCGATGTACTATATATTTCTTAAGTTGATGCTTACTGATCCAGTATTTATTTTATCTGCATATACTTATGGCATGTATGCCATAGGAAAGGTATTATGCTAGGCACTGTGAAATGTAGAAGTGTAAGATTTGGCTCTAGCCCTTTATTGTAAAACACAAACAAATGTGTGACATATACATTCAGATACCAGTAAAACATGGAAATAACTACCAAGTGAATAATAAGATGGCAGACATCTAGGAGGTTCAGAAGATGAAAACATTTTGAACTGGATTAGATTGGAAATGTTGACTTCAAAGGAAGGTTTCCATTTTGGCTCCTCAGGAATATTCATGATTTGGATATGCTGAAAATAATCAGGAGGGAATTTGGATGTTATAAAATGGTGAAAACAAAGGGAAAGCAGGAAAATGTAAGATTTTGGTGGGATAGTATAAAGTAGAGGATTTATATAGCAAAATTTAGAAATAAGACTGTATTTGGAAGATTGAGATAAGACCATAGCAGATCTATAGGAATCTTTGGATTTCTGTGATTTAATTCTACAGAAAACCCAGAAAATAGATGTTTAGTATTAAAATGATTTAAGTATCCTTTAGATCCTGTTATAGAACCCAACTCTAGTTTGTGTATAGATTATTATAGCAGGCTATTTATGAATTTTATTCTTTATGGCTGAGGAAAAAGAATAGTTGTAGGGTAAAATGAGAATTTCCTTTGTAAATCTTTTTCTTATCTGTTCTCATTAGCATCAAGGGCATGATTAATGAATGTTTTATTTAAGATAAAAACTTATTTAAAATAAGTTCTGGAAATACAGTTGATTTTTAAAAACTGACTATTCGGGGCTTCCCTGGTGGTGCAGTGGTTGAGAGTCCGCCTGCCGGTGCAGGGGACGCAGGTTCGTGCCCCGGTCCAGGAAGATCCCACGTGCCAAGCAGCGGCTGGGCCCGTGAGCCGTGGCCACTGAGCCTGCGCGTCCGGAGCCTGTGCTCCGCAAAGGGAGAGGCCGCGGCAGTGAGAGGCCCGCGTACCGCAAAAAAAAACCCAAAAAACAAAAAACAAAACTGACTATTCTGCATAGTTCTGGAGGTACTCTGACGTGTATTTTTACTAAGTATGTTGCCTGTGATCCTTTAATATTTGCTTTAACACCTTTATATTAAGTCTGTGTTAATGGGTGAGATAATTTTTCTTTGTGTCATATTTGCATTAAAACTTTTTTTCTAGCATTGTACTTAACTACTAACCATGGACAATATAATTCTGAATACATATACATTAAGGAACAATTTATTAGGGAATATTTACTTAGTATTTATTATTCCACTTAACTGAAATAGAAGACTTAGGATAATTTGCCTTGTTATATATGTATACAGTAATAGTTGATTAAAACACCACTAAAGCAGTTAAAAGGGAAGCCTCCTGGAATGACTTGCTTATTGTAGCTGAGCCCTGCATTTAACTATGGCTTCCATAGAAGATAATGAAAAAAGGAAAATGAGTGGAATTATATAGTGATCATCTACAAAAAGGATTTATTCAAGTTTATCTGTCTGGGTAGATGTTTTACTAGTATAGAGTGTGAGGAGAAATTTACTCTGTGAGTTTGTATTTGTTTTTTATTGCTGTGTAAAAAATTACTCCCCTTAAATTAGTGGCTTAAAATAACATCTCACAGTTTCTGTAGTTTAGGAATTTGAGAGTTGCTTAACTGGGTGGTTCTGGCTTTCTCTTAGGGTTATAGTCAAGATTTCACTTGGGGTTGCACTCATCTGAAGACTTGACTGGGCATGTAGAATCTGCTTCCAAGATGGCTTATTTGAAAGTGGGGGAGGGTGATGGGAGGCACACAGGAATCTCTGGTCCATAGCAATTCTAAAATCTAGCAGAGCTGAGATTGGAAGTTTCTTGATTAGTACTCAAAGCCTGCTAATAATTCTCCATGGTTCTTGGCTTTGTACTCTGGAAGCTCCGTTCAATTTTGTAACAGGTAGCACCTGTGGAGTTTTCTCAGCCTGCTTCCTTTTAGTGAAAATTTGGGGATCCAAAGGCCTCTTTTCATTTTGTACTGTCTCTGCCCCTTTTAGTTGTAGCTGGCTGTGTTTCTTCGCTTATAATTCTCATAAATCTTTGTGGATCTCTTGTGAATCTTATTTGAGGTTCATTCCATTAGACACTAGCTGTGCCCACAAATCTTTTGGAGGTAAGTCCTTCTCTACCTTTGGCTTCTCCAAAGCCAAAGATGTCTAGAGATAGTTCCTTAATCTTCTTAGAAGGCCTGTTGTTTGAGAGGAAAAGTAAGAGACATCTTTAAAATGTTTGGAGGGCGTTTTATCTGACTGAATGGTACTCTAAGGTACCACCTTTGATCTTTCTGAGGTCTTAAAGCATTTGCAGTTACACCTTCAGCACCATTTGCACAATAGCTTCTTAGCAGTCTTCTAGATTAGATCTTTGCCTGGAACATTTCTTAATTTAATATTGTTTGCCAGCTGGAGAAGCTGTTAATCTTCAAAAGCAGCAAGTCTCAACTGTTTCCTGTTTAACAGTACTTTCTTTAGTTCCTCTCTCTCCTTTCACATTTTACTTAAACAGGAAGAAGCATAGGTAATACCTTAAATATTTTGTCTGGAAATCTCCTTACTTAGATCACCTCATTCATTAGGTATATTTTCATTTGGGGTTTTTTTTTTGGCCACGAGGCATGTGGGATCTTAGCTCCCAGACCAGGGATCGAACCCGAACCCCCTGCATTGGAAGGCGAAGTCTTAACCACTGGACTACCAGGGAAGTCCCATTAGGTACATTTTCTACTTTCTGTGTTACCACAATGTTGCTAAACTTTCTGGCACTACATTAAGGATCCTCTTTCCTATAATTTCTAATAAGGTTTTTCTTACTTCTTTCTAAGCCCTTACCCATGGCCTCCTAAATGGCCATTAATCTTCCTACAAACAATTCCTTTGAGGCTCTTCAAGCTTTCACTAAAACTTTCCTCAAAAATCCTTTCAGCTTCTGCCCACTCTCTAGTTCTAAATTTATGTCCAAAGTTTTGGGTTTTGGTATGGTAATTCCCTATTTCCAGGTACCAAAATCTGTGTTATTTATCTCTTGCTGCATGACAGATTTCCTCCACAACTTAATGACTTAAAACAACATATATTATTTCACTGTTCCTTTGGACAGCATATATTATTTCACCATTTCTTTGGACTCTTTAGCTCAGAGTTCTGACTACGGATATTTTACGAGGTTGCAGTCAAGTCGTTGGCCAGGGCTACAGTTATCTGAAGGCTTGAATAAGCTTGGAGGATCACATTGCCATTGGTTAAGAGGCCTCAGTTTCTTGCCATGTTTGCCTCTCCATTGGGTTACTTCCTCTATTCTTATTATATAGCATTTGGCTTCCTCCAGAGTGAATGAGGCCAGAAAGAGAGCAAGGATGAGACCTCTTATGACCTAGACTTTGAAGTAACACACCTTCACTTCCATTATATTCTTCTGTTAGAAGCAAGTGACCAAGTGTGGCCCACCCTCAAGGGTAGAAGAATTATGATCCAACTCTTGAAAAGCAGGCATATCAGAGGATTTATGAACATATCTTAAAACAACCACAGGGCTTTTATAGAAGGTTTCATAAAAACACATAAAAGGTGTCTTCTGTCAAAATTTTATGCAAGTACAGAAATAGAACTTTAAGTATCTGAAAACTTGAAGGATTTGATTTCATATGAATGTTTTGTTTTTTCACATTCTTTCTACCCACGAATGTCTTGTTCCAATTACAACATTTGGGTGACTACCAATTTTTATTTTACACTTACAACACATATGTATATGTACACATATGTACATACATACATTAAAAAAATCTTTTCATATATTGTTTTGTAGCCTTCAACTAGAAAGAGAATAAGACACAAAGGGCAGAAAGACTATAGTAGATTTTAGAGATGAATTCTAGAATGAATAAAACTAATAAAATTGTATTTTGCACTCTTCTGGACTTTTTTCAGTTAATTTGTAAAACTGAACCTGAGTTAAATATATGTTTATTACCAAGAGTTATCATGTCTTAATTTCTTCACTGGCATTGTTTTTATTTTTCTGTTTTTTCCCATGCTGATTTTTGGGCCAAATTTCTAAAAAACTATCTTGTTTGAGAGTGAATAAATGTTGAGATTGCCAGAAACAATTCTTATTGGACCCATAAATAAAATAGATGGTTGTGGTTGGATAAACTAAAATCTGTTGACCAGATTCATTATTTTTAAATAAGTTCTAGATGAACAGTTAACAAGCAGTGAAAGTGAAGATGATGAGATTTTCCGAAGAAAAAGTAAAAAGACAAAAGGAAATGTTTTGGAGTCCCCTGAGGTGAGTCATTCAATAATCACAATAACATGATCACATAAAGTTTTTTGTTCCTCTTATTTTTTTTTTTGGCCATGCCGCATGGCATGTGGGATCTTAGTTCCCCAACCAGGTATCGAACCCACACCCTCGGCCTTGGAAGCATGGAGTCTTAACCACGGGACTGCCAGGGAAGTCCTTTTGTTCCCCTTAAAACTATTTTTTTTTAACTTTTTACTTTATTTATCTACTTTATCTAGAATCAGAAAAATAGCGAAGTTGATTCTCCACTTCATGCTGTCAAAAAGCGCAGGGTTCCTCCAAACAGAGTAAGTAAATAACAAATAATGTATAGTAATTCCTTTTGAAATAAATATTACAAGAGAAATATCTGTATAGATGACCATAGGTATGTTTGATCTTATGGGTATATGTTTAACAGAAAAATAGATAGTAAATACTATGTGACTGGAATTTCTATTTTAATTTTAAACTCCTTCAAAAAACTATTCCTATTTTTGTCAGTACACTCCAGCAATTCAGATTAAATACCTACTTTGTATCTACTGTGTAAGATGTTGGGTATACTGTAAAGATTATTTCCTCGTATTGTTAAGTCTGCAATCTAGTAGGAAGGATAGATAGTAAGTGGATAATTTCCATATAATTTTTTAAGTTAAGTGATAAGAAAAGATAAACCCTTAACCTAGACCTTGGGAGTTCTGGCAAGCTTCTTGAAGATAACAGCTTACTTAAATCTTAAAGCATCTGTGGCAGTTAGGGAAGAGAAGGGAGAAAGGAAGGCATTCCCCAACGGCTTAAAGAAGGACACAAAGTGGGGAGACAGCATCTCTTGTGGTTGGATTGTAAAGACAAAAAGTACCAGGAAGTAAAATTGGAGAAAAATCTGGGTGAGTTTTTGGAAGGCCTTATTCTTTCATTTGCTTACTGAATGGGCTTGAAAGAAGGAAAAGAAGGAGTCCACGATGACTCTCTGGTTTTGGCTTGGGCTAGTTGCAGATGTGTCACATCTTTAGAGAAAACAAGAAAGAGTGGTAAGTTCAGTGTTGAACATGTTTGAAGTTCATGTGGGATAGTAAAGTGACAGTGTCTGGCAGGCATTGACAACTATGAGAATGTGAAATCTGGGTCGGGGGGCAGGTCTTAAGGCTAATAGTATTCATTTGTCATCAGTTTATAGCTGATAGCTAAATTTTGAGATTAGGAAATCTTGTGTGTTTTAATTCTCTAATACAAACTAGTATAATTTGTGCAAAATTAATTGAAAATGCAGTCAGTCCATATTAACTTTGTATACACATATAAAACTTCATTAGAAAAATTGCTTTAACTTGCTACTTGAACTAGAATGTCTGATTGACTTACTAGAAGTGAATTAAAATATTGATAATGCTGATGCTCAATCTACTTTAACCTAAAATTATTCCTGTTAATTGAAATTATTTTGATAAATTTCTTTTGATTCTTTTGATTGGTTTTATATTATTCTGTAAGAGATATTATAGTAGGTTTCATAGTCAACATTTGTTGTTATATTGGTTTCTTAGTTTGAAAGGACTCATGTATGTTTGGACTAATTTTGATAGCTGTATTTACAGACTTAATTTTTTTTTTGTGAAGCCCTTCAGGGTCTTCTAAAGGAAAGAGTTAAACTAAAAACACAAGTTTTCATCGGATACATTCAATTTCATACAAAATTAAATGAATACTATACTAGTATTACTTATATTACCTAATTTATTATTTTAGTACTTAGAATTACCTAACTTTTAAATTCTTAAGTATTGTGTATTTATAACATGGCTCTGAGTTGTAAGAGCATTTTATTTTTCTAACAAGAAAATGTTAGGTCAACTATTTAAAAAGGAAAAATGAAAACAGAAGCAATAACCCTTGAGAAACACATTAAGATACAACACTCCAATTATATTTTCTCATGTAAGAATTTTATTGAATTTTAGTTAGATTTATCATCTAGCGATGAGAGTGAGAATTTTAGCAAACGAGATCCACAGTCAGCAGACTTCAAGGATCATAATAAAAGAGGCATCAAAGTCCAAAAGAGACTGAGTCACCTAAAGGTAAACTTTTTTCCATTTCTTATTTTTATATAAATATACTATATATTTTTTTAATTAGTAAAGAACAGTAGATTTTACACAGAAGTAGATTTTTCTCTATAATTTCTTATAGTAAAAAATCCCAAAATTAAAAAATATTTTGACACGAATTTTACTTTTTGTATTGGAATTAAAATCTTAAGGTGTGGTATTTTAGTTTCTCTTTGTGTTTTGAAATTATCTTGCAGTGTTGTGTTATTTTGAATGACTAAATGAAGAAACTTCAGTGTATTGAGGATTTAATATTCAAATTGAAGAAAATATAGAGACAAATCTGAGTTTTAGAATATTTGCTTTTGTAATAATTATATTGTTTTTCTTATCTCTATCCAATATTCACATTCTTGGAAAAGAATTCTCAGCACCTTTTTGTCTGATCAGTCTTTCTGTGGTACTGTATTTTTCCTGGAAAAAATTAATTAGCTGAAAGACTCAGGAGACTTTATGCTTATTAAGAAACATTCAGCAAGCTGACATGCTGACTTGTACTTTATTTTATTCATAACAGAATTAAAAGAAGAAATTTTAAATAGGTATACTACTTTATTATTTCTTCTTGCAGTTTTCTGTTTTTATTATTTTTGATCTTAAAAGCACTGGCAAGAAATCCATTTTCCAGAACTGTTTCCAATTATTTGAAGAAATAAAATGATTTTCTTAAAGGCATCTTCCTTTTTTCTCATTTATCTTAGCTTGTAGCTAGGAAGTTTTTAGATGATGAAGCAGAACTTTCCCAAGAAGATGCAGAATGTGTTTCATCAGATGAAAATGATGAGTCAGAAAATGAACAGGATTCCTCATTACTTGACTTTTTAAATGATGAGACTCAACTGTCACAGGCTATAAATGGTAAGTGATATAATGATGCTTCTTTTTCTTTTGATTTTCAATGCCTTTAATGTGGTTATACTTAAATATTCTAGTCAGTTTCCAAAGAACTTTGACTTTAAAGGGAATTAAATTTGTCGTGTGTAAAATACTTGGTCATTTTCATTCAAATTCTGTTAATATTTGCTTTATGTGAGAGTTGATTGTTTATAGGCTTCTGCTAATTTGCTTATGTCTCTCCAGAATGACCTAGTTGGCTCAATGTCAGATGTTCATTTAAACAAGTATTTAGTGCCTACTATGTGCCCAGTACTATGTAAGGTTCTTGAGAAAGCTGCATCTGTGAGCGAAATGGACAAAACCCCCTTCCCTTATGAAGCTTACATTTGAATGGAAGAAGACAAGCAATATACATAATAACTAAATTATTTAGTGTAAGATGAAAACTTTACAGAAAAACAAAAAGAGTTGAGTAAGATGAAGATTTGGAGTGGCAGAAGTTAGGGGTATTAACAGATAAGCTGCGAATTTAAGTAAGGTAATTAGGGGTAGCCCACATTGAGAAGGTGACATTTAATCAAAGACTAGAAGGAGATGAGGAATCCAGCAGTGTGACACAAAGCTAAATATAAAACCAGCTGAGACACAAAGCTAAATTTATTAAATTTGCTAAGGTAAGGGAGATCTACTTTTAGAAAACAGTCTCCCCAAACAATGCTTGAGCAGGTCTTCTATACAATATATTAAGAGCAGATGATTCAGATTGGCTTTAATAGAAATGGGAAAGATTGTGGTGGGCTCTTCTGTATTCTTATCCTTCACAAATCTTGCCATTATTCTGCTCCTGCAGTGCCTGATATGATTTGAAACAGCAAAGTTTCCCAAGGTCCGTGACTTTAAAGAAAAAAGGCTTTAAATACAAAATTATCGGTACCATGTCGCCGATACTGATATGATTTGCAGAATAAGGTTTCTTTTGCAGGTCTGTAGTATTGTATAATCTGGTGGGAGAATGTTTGCAAAGATGACAACCAATGTGAAGGCCCTGAAGCAGGAGTGTGCCTGGCTTGTTCAAGGGAATAGCATTGTGACTGGAATTGAATGAGTGAGAAGGGAAGTAGTTGCAAGTGAGATCAGAGAGTAATGAATGAGCAGCCAGCTCATATTAAGTAGTATAGCTCTAGCTTCTGTGTTGAGAACAGTCTATTTGGGAGCAAAGGTGGAAAAAGAGACCATTTAGGAGGCCATCGCAGTAATCTAATCAAGGAATGTTAGTGGCTTCTACCAAGGTGGGGGCAGTGTGAGGGTGAGAAAGATTGGATTCTGGCTATGTACAGCTGATGGGATTTTCTGATGGATTAGAGAGAAAAAGAGGGAGTCAGTGGGCTTGAGCAGCAGGAAGGACTTTAGTTGCTGCAATTGGGAAGGTTGAAGGTGGAGCAGTTGGGATGGAGAGTAGGGATATCTGAAACTCCATTTAGAAACAGTATGTTTGAAACGTAGGATTTCAAAGTTGTTTTTTTTTAAGAAAATCTCAAAATCCACATTACCTTTTTTTTTTTTAAGCCTCATTTCTTAGGTACTCTTTGCTATATAACTTTAAAAAATGATAGGCCTATGAATCTCACATGAATTATGCTTTGTGGAAAAAGCCATATTCAAAAGGTTACATACTATATACTTTGACTTATATGACATTCTGGAAAAGGTAAAACTATAGCAACAGCAAATAGAATAGTGGTTGCCATAACTATGCATTTGTCAAGACTCAGAACTATACCCTAAAGAGGATGAATTTTATTGTATATGCATTATACCAAAAAAAAAAATCTATAAAACAAACGAAAAAATATCTCTGAAAGCTCCTTGATTGAGTCCTTTTAAACAGTAAACTGGAAATAAAGATCTCACTAAATTTTGTAGGGATTTATCATGAGTAAGAAGTGGGTAGTTAAGTCAGGAGAATATCTAATAGTTGAAGCTAGCTATGGAATGGAGATAAGGGAAATATTATTCAAAGAAAAGCTTATACATCTTGTCCCAAGAATGATAGTCATTAAATTAGCAATGTTATCCCTCAAAATAACCTGTTAATTAATTTAATCACTCCAAATGTAAGGGGAAATGAGAGACAAAAATTAAAGTTGATTTCTGATTACAACCTTAAAAAAAAAAGATAGGCATAAATTAAAACCTGTGTTTCCTAGTTTTTGCTTGACTGAAAATTATGAAACATACTTACTATTGGTTGTGGCTTTTGATGTTTTTAAGTATAGGTTTTTTTTGCCTGGATTTTTTATGTTTTAGTTTTATAGAATGCTTTCTATAAATCAGATACAGTTCTAAGGTCTTTGTGTACATTTATTTCTCATGAAAGGCACTCTCCTAATCTTCGTTATCAGAGAAGAGAGATAGCTAAGGCAGAGAGCTTAAATAAATTGTCCATGATCACCCAACTAGATGGTCTGTCAAAGGCAAAACTCCTAACTTTGCATTTTTGAATAATTATTTTTAGACATGTTTCAATATATATTAAATATCTTTTGTGTAAAATAGTTCCACAAGTTTTGAATCATGTGAATTTGGGATAGGTCAAAGTTAAACACTTTGTTAGTTTTCATTTAAATAATTTTGCTATTTGAAATTTTTTTTTATCTCTACACAGATTCTGAAATGAGAGCTATTTACATGAAATCTGTGCGAAGTCCACTGATGAACAATCGGTACAAAATGGTCCATAAGAAACATAACAACATAAACATTTTCTCACAGGTATGAACTATAGAAATATAGTGGAGAATTTCCTGGTGGTGGTGTTGAAATATATCCCTGTTAATGAAGCTTTCATTTTGTTTCTAAAATTGGACCATCAGAACTATTTGCAATAATTTCTACCCTGAGTAAGGAAGGTGGGCTAAATGAATTCTCAAAATCCCTTTTAGTCCTAATTTGATCAAATTATCCTTTTGTTAACTTGAGCTAATTAGAATATACTTTTTAAAATTTTTTTTAAATTTATTTTTTGGCTGCATTGGGTCTTCATTGCTGCATGTGGGCTTTCTCTAGTTGTGGCGAGCGGGGGCTACTCTTTGTTGCGGTGCGCTGGCTTCTCATTGTGGTGGCTTCTCTTGTTGTGGAGCACGGGCTCTAGGCGCATGGGCCTCAGGAGTTGTGGCTTGTGGGCTCAGTAGTTGTGGCACATGGGCTTAGTTGCTCTGCGGCATGTGGGATCTTCCTGGACCAGGGCTCGAACCCATGTCCCCTGCATTGGCAGGCGGATTCTCAACCACCGCGCCACCAGGGAAGCCCTAGAATATACTCTTAAGTTGTTTTCCAATTAGGAGAATACTTAAAGGAAGTGAATAGAACTTTATCATCTACTAGTTAAAATTTTAATTCTTCTATGTTGTCATATTTCTCTTGAAAATTAAGTTTTTCATAAAAATGGTATATCCTAAAAACCATAGATTATTTTTCATTTATGGATAACAATTTCATATTAGCCTTATTTGTTTATAAATTGCCATATTCACCTTGGAAATATGGTCATTCTTATCTCTGTACTTTCATTGTGTTTATTATGTAGCATTTATCACATTGTTTATAAATTACTGTTTATTTTTCTGGCTACTTGCACTAGACTGTAAATTTCTAGAGGGTAAATCATTCTTTTTTTATTCCCAAACTCCTCATTTTCTTCCATAAAGAATATAATCAGAAAGAAGATGTGGTATATATATATAAAATGGAATATTACTCAGCCATAGAAAAGAATGAAATTTTGCCATTTGTGACAACATGGATGGACCTAGAGGACATTACACTAAGTGAAAGAAGTCAGACAGAGAAAGACAAATACTGTATGATTTCACTTATATGTGGAATCTGAAAAACAAATGAACCAACATAAAAAAGAAACAATCATAGACACAGAGAACAAACAGGTGGTTGCCAGTGGGGAGTTGGGGGAGGAGAGAAATAGGTGAGGGAGATTAAGAGGTACAAACTTCCAATTGCAAAATAAATGTCATAGGTATAAAATGTACAGTGTGGGGAATATAGTCAATAATTATGTAATATCTTTGTACACATTGTAATTAGACTTATCCTGGTGATCATTTTGAAATGTATGTTATGTAACAGGAACTAACATTGTATTGTAGGTTAATTATACTTCAAAAACAAACAAACTAACTCATACAAAAAGAGACCAAATTTATGGTTACCAGAGGTAGGGGAGTGGTGTAGGGGGAAGGAGAATTGGATGATGGTAGTCAAAATGTACAAACTTCCAGTTATAAGATAAATAAGTACTCGGGATGTGATGTACAACATGATAAACATAATTAACACTGCTGTAGGTTAAATATGAAAATTGTCAAGAGAGTAAATCCTAAGAGCTCTCACCACAAAGAAAAACTTTTTTTTTCTATTTCTTTAATTTTGTATCTGTATGAGATGATGGATGTTCACTAAACTTATTTCATGATGTAATAAGTCAAATCATTATGCTGTACACCTTAGACTTATACAGTGTTGTATGTCAATTATATCTCAATAAAACTGGAAGAAAAAAAGAATATGCTCAATATATGTTAGTGAGCAAGTGACTGACTTAATAAAGTAAGTGAAATAAATATTCAGAAAGATACCATGAACTTAAAAGAATATGTTAAAACATGCTGATTTTATGAAATTTATAATATTCTTATTTTGTATTTGTATTGTAGATTCCTGAGCAAGATGAAACCTATTTAGAAGACAGTTTTTGTGTTGATGAAGAGGAGTCTTGCAAAAGCCAATCAAGTGAAGAAGTCTGTGTTGATTTTAACCTAATAACTGAAGATTGCTTTGCAAGTAGGAGTAAAAAATATAAAACCCGACGTGCAGTAAAGCTAAAACAAAAGAAGATGAGACGAAACTGTGCATCTTCAAAAAAAAAATTATGCAGAATTATTTTACCAGATGATTCAAGTGAGGAGGAAAACGATGTAAATGATAAACAGGAATCCAGCACTGTGATTAATCCAAGTGCAGTTACCAAGAGTGAACAACAAAACCACTGTTTGAATTTAGTGCCTTCTGGGTCTTCATTGCAGTCCAGGGACCACTCTAATCCAGTTGTTAATCAGTTGCCAAACCAGAGACAACAGACACCGCTTAATTTAAAGGTTACAGTTTCCGATGTCTCAGACTTCAAACCTCAGAGCCGTACTAAAATTGAACCTACCTCATCATCATTCACTACTGTTGATTCACAGAAAGACTGTAGAAAATTTCCAATTCAGTTGAAGGTATGAATCAGATTAGAGAAAAAAAGCCTTCGTATGATTACCAAAACGTTTTCTTTGGTTTGTTTTTCTTTCTTTTGTGTTAAATAACTAGGTCAAAGAAAAATTCAAGTGATAAAATTCTTCAGACAAGAAACCAGCACACTAAATTTTATAGCTGATTTGTAGTATGCTTATTTTTAAAATGTGTTAATAGTTTTCTGTAAGGAAACCTGCTAATTTTATAAAAAGGATATAGGAAATGGGCTTCCTACAAGGTAAAATTAACAGAAATTAAAGCTCAGAACTGGTTTCTCCAGATTTTTTCTTTCCCCCTCTGAAGGCTTCTGGTATGTAACTCTCATCTACTTATTGGGGTGAGGAGTTTAGGGGTACCAGCTGATTTCCTTCCTTTGAATTTCTTTCCTTCCAGAATGGTTACTATTGATGAAGTAATCCCTAAAATCATTTTCAGTTTTTAAGAGTTCATAGTTGCAGTAGTTTTGCTAAAATAGGGGTTAAAGTCATAGTAATAGGAATCCCTAGACCTAGACTTAGATTTCTCTTTTATTTCAGGTGTTTCAGCCCATTCCACCTTAGCAACATGCTCCAGTGTCCGCACAATGGCCCTCAAATTGGCATTTCTAGTTGTAAATTATCTCCAGGCCTTTTTTGCACAAAGTTATTTCTGGAAGGCATAATTAGATAAAATTGACTAGATTAAGTCTTATAAATAGATTGGAGAAGAGCCAAGTACTTAATTTCCCTGAGCCTCGGTATTCTCAGCTGTATTAGAAAGATAGTAATCCCAAGGGTCAGGGTAGGTAATACTTGCACAGTACTTTCAAAACCAGTAAGCACTCTCTACATTTCTACTTTGCCATGCTGTAACTAAAAAAAATAGATATAGGCTAGTAATATTTTGAGGACTGTGAAAAAGGATAGAGTTTTAACAGAAATGTGTTTTAACTTTTCCTCTACTATCTAATACTATACATATAGTATGATTCTTCTTCAGATTAGGAGGGGAAGGAATTTGAGATAAATTTGAGAAGACAGAAAATAGACTAAATATCCTGTCAAAAACTGTTAGATACTAAAAATGTTAATACTTATTTTGTCATGTGTATTGCAGACAGTATTCCTTGTTTGTCATTTGCCTTTGTTTTGTTTAATAGTGGGTTTTGCCACAGGAAAATTTAACTTTTTTATACAGTTCCAATTTTTTTCTTTATAGTTTCTGACATCAGTGTCATGTTTAAAAAGCCATTTTGTACTCCAAGATAACGAAATATTTCCAATATTTTCTTTTGGTTCTTTAGTGTTCATTTCTTCCTTCATGACATTTATTCCTTTTCTTAAAAAATTGAATATTAAATATATTTTAAAGATTATTCTGAGTGATTAGGACTTCCTCTTTAGCTTAGAATACAGAAAGCTGGAAAGAGCATTGCTCCCATCCTTGTAACAGCAGCCAAAAAACCAGATAATCTACAAAATCATAAGTTTATTTGGATCTGAGGTTGCAGGACAGCCAATTAGCCTGATATCTAAGGAGACAAGTGCCTCCAAGGAGAGACTTGCTGATTTGGGACAGTCACTGGGCACTGTATAATCTGGCAAGAATTCAGCTAAAACATTAATGAATTGCAAAAGGCAACGGGATAGCATGAGCGTTTAGAACCCCTGGGAGTTGCAGAGAGAAGGGTAATTCACAACCACTCGTGGGCTCTTTTCCACAGAGTCATCAGATGGTCACAAGAAAGATTGAGAATCAGAGAAAACCTCCTTCCCAGTGCAGGCCTTGGGGAAGTGACCAGAAGCTACTGTGGAAAAGGCACCAAACCCCATCTAGTTTCTTCTCCCCTATTTCCCCTATGGAACAAAAAGCATTAAACTACTGGGGGAAGAACAGCAAACCCTACAGCCTCCAGGGCTTAGGTGAAGACCCTTTGCAGATGGAGGAAAGGAATAAGAGAGAAATGCTCTACATCTGAGAAAGGGGCAGGAAAACATCTTGGGCCCAGAGCATTAGAGATCTCTAACCACTGGGGGCAGGGAGAGGGGGAGGATCATTGAGAAGTTCCTACCTCTGAGATCCAGGGACACAATTCCTGCCCAAGACAGGCTGAACCAGGACAATAGAAACCCCCCTCCCCCTGCCTGTCCCCACACTCCTAGCACTCCCTCCAACCAGGCTAGCAAGCAGTAAGTGAGAAATAAAAGCAATCTACTGCTGAGAGAGAGACAAGAGTATGGGGAGAAAAACTCTGAGGCACAGGTTTACAAAGAAAAGTTAGAATATTTAGAAAAATCACCTGGCAAACGAGCCCAGACCTCAGCTCAGTTTGAAAGGACTTTGTGATGTTTTGTCATGGGTCCAAAGCTATTTCTGTACTTTGGTAGAGCTCATATTTACCTCAATCACTACTCTCCTACACAAGATGTTTGGCTTTCAACCAAAAGTTACAAAATACATAGAAGGAAGAAAAAAACACATTCTCAAGAACCAGACTCAGATATGACCCAGACATTGGAACTATCAGACAGGGAATTTAGAATAACCATGATTAACATGTTAAAGGCACTAGTGGAAAAGTCAAACAAACATGCATGAATAGAAAGGGAATATCATCCAAGAAATGGAATATATAAAGAACAATAAAGTGGAAATGCTAGAAATGGAAAACATGGTAAAAGAGATGAAGAATGTCTGCAATAGGCCCATCAGTAGACTCAATGCAGCCATGGAAAGAACCAACAAACTTAAAGCTAGGTCAATAAAATTACCCAATCAGAAATATAAAGAAAGTGAAAAAACAGAATGGAGCATCCAGGAGCTGTGGGAATGTAAGCAGTAGCCTAAGATACATGTAATTGGAATTAAGGAGAAAAGAGAGCAAGTAGAAGATATAGTTGAACAAGAAATGGCTGAGGATTTTCCAAAGTTAATCAACATTGGCATACAAGTATCTGAGTCTCTGGTTTCAATTATTATGGGTATGTTACCTAGGAGTGGAATTCCTGGGCCATATGGTAATTCTTTAATTTTGAGAACTCTCCCCACAGTGGCCTCACCATTTTTCATTCCCACCAGCAATGTACATTCCAGTTTTTTCACATTCTCATCAACACATTTTCCTTTTTTAAAAATTCTAGCCATCCTACAAGGTGTTAGTGGTAGCTTGGTCCTTCATCTACATAGTCACTTTGCTGATGTTGAAGGAAGAAAAAAAAGTATCAATAAGAAAAATCAGCCTAGGAGTTAGAAGTTTATGGCGCTAACATATATATAACTGATCGTGATTGATGTTTTCTGCTTTTCAGGATACTAGTGCTCTGGAGGATTCTGGCACTTCAGTGGCATACTGTTCCAACTCACGACCACGCTTGGCTGGCACACATGCTTCTCTTAGACTTCCACAGGAAGGCCAAAGAACTTGTATTCTTGTAGACAGTCGTGAAATCACTTCTGGTTCAGAAGTAATTTCTTCCCTAAGAGCAGTTCATGGCTTACAGGTAGAGGTTTGTCCTCTTAATGGTTGTGATTATATTGTGAGTAACCGCATGGTGGTGGAAAGGAGGTCTCAATCTGAGATGTTAAATAGTACCAATAAGAACAAGCTCATTGAACAGATCCAGTACCTACAGAGCATGTTTGAAAGAATATGTGTGATTGTGGAAAAGGACAGAGAAAAAACAGGTTTGTATTTTTAAATGGTTTTGTTTATAAGGCTGTAAAGGAACCTATTATTTGGTTCATTATCCTACTGTCAGGATGTGGGAAGCTCTTAAAATTTAAATACCTGACTCATGAATGTCATTTCATATTTACATAATGCCATAATGTTTTTCATTAGTCATTGTGTTTAAATGCAGCTTGTGAGAATCGAAGGGTGAGAAATTGAAGGCAAGTGAACCAATCATAAGTCTTTTTCTGGGAGCCGCAGAAAGGGTGAGGGGCCCTAAATAAGGCAGCAGTGGGGGAAAGGAGGAATCAGGAGGGAAGTGAAATCAGGAGGTAGCAGGAGTAAGTGGGAGCAATCAAGAATTACTATTGAGCTGAACAGTCTCTTGATTACTGGGCAGTTAGGTAGTGGTGCTGTTCATTGAAATTATGAATATCAGAGAAACAGCAGATTTGAGGGACAAAGAGAGGTTTAACTTTGAATATGTTGAGTTCTTAATGGGTCACTAAAATGGATGCTTAGGATATATTAAAAAATGCAGGCTTGGAGCTTCAGTTAGGGCATTTTTATGGGTAATGTTTAATTGTAATGGGGAGCCCCTGAGAATAGTGAAAAGATCATAGGATATGGGATCAGAAGATGCACTGAGTTCTGGTGTCTCTATAGCTATGTGATACTGCATTGACAAATCACTCCCTCTGAGGAGTTAATAATATACTTTTCCTACTCATCCCGGGGTGTTATGAGGATTAAGTGAAATCATGCAGCTGAAAGCCGCTATGGAAGAATTCAAGGATTATACAGTCATTATGTAAAAGAAAATAATGTAGTTTACATAAAACACTGGTTCAATTTGAGCAACGTACTTTTCATCGCCACTGTCACTACTGAACCATGTGACCTTGGATAAGTCATTCTGTCTTTCAGTAACCCAAATTTTTTTTTCTTTTTTAATTTGACAAGTGAGGGCTTTAGATTAAGTGATCTTTTGGGTCTTTCTAGCGTTAAAATTCTATAAGTTACTCTTTACTAACATATCCTTTATAAAGGAAATAGATTTGGAATAAAAAGGAAAGTAATATGGCAAAAGTTACGGAAAAACATCTTTTTTTTGGCTTAAGGAAGAATGCCAAAAAAAGGATGTAGGTGGAACATGGAAAGAAAATGAATGGGAAAAGTAGGGAAGTAAATTAATAGGCAGGAGTTAAAGTTATAATGGGTATGCAGGGTATTGAGGTACTCTTGGAATAAATACATGATAATTTTATATCAGTTAGAAGTAATACTTAATGAACCCTTCGGCAATGCTACCATTATGAATTTTAGAGATAAGTAATATGGTCTTGGCCTTTAGGAATGAATTATCTAGGAATATAAACTCTCCCCTGCCTACTCACCTTCTTCTGTAGATTCCAATTTAAGACACTCATAAAGACCGTTCTCCTTATTTTCTATTTGAGGATCACTTGAAATTTTCAGCGGTAGGGTTTCGCATTAGCATAATGTGGCACTAGTTTGCTTAATGATGTAGATCTTGGGATTTTAATAATATACAGTATTAATGGTCCTACTTAATGTAACTTACTAAGGTTTGCATTTTCCTAAATGTAAAATATTTAGGAGACACATCCAGGATGTTTAGGAGAACAAAGAGCTATGACAGCCTGCTGACTACCTTAACTGGTGCTGGAATCCGAATTCTTTTCAGTTCCTGCCAAGAAGAAACTGCAGATTTGCTAAAGGAATTGTCTTTAGTGGAACAAAGAAAGAATGTTGGTATTCATGTTTCAACAGTGGTGAACAGTAATAAATGTGAGGCACTTCAATTTTATCTCAGTATTCCCAATATAAGTTATATAGCTGCACTGAATATGTGTCACCAGTTTTCATCTGTGAAAAAGATGACAAATAGGTATGTGTTTTAATATTTATTTATTTGGTTGTGCAGGGTCTTAGTTATGGCGGGTGGGCTCCTTAGTTGCAGCACACGGGCTCCTTAGTTGCAGCACACGGGCTCCTTAGTTGTGGCATGTGAACTCTTAGTTGTGGCATGCATGTGGGATCTAGTTCCCTGACCAGGGATCGAACCTGGGCCCCCTGCATTGGGAGCACGGAGTCCTATTCACTGCACCACCAGGGAAGTCCCTGATTTAATATTTTTAAATGGTTACTTTAAAATCATCCTTGAAGGCATTTCATAGGAATTTTTTTTTTTTTTTTGCGGTACGCGGGCCTCTCACTGTTGTGGCCTCTCCCGTTGTGGAGCACAGGCTCCGGACGCTCAGGCTTAGTAGTCGTGGCACACGGGCTTAGTTGCTCCGCGGCATGTGGGATCTTCCCGGACTGGGGCACGAACCCGTGTCCCCTGCATCGGCAGGTGGACTCTCAACCATTGCACCACCAGGGAAGCCCCCATAGGAATTTTAATATTTTTAAAAATAAAGAGGTATAGTGCCTGTTAGATTCTTTCATTCAGTAAAGACTTTGCTTGTCAACATGTATCAGTCACTGCATTAAGCTGAGGACATTAATGGAAGGAAAAAAAAAACGTAGGCATTGTCTTTGAGTAGCTTAGAGCCCTGTGGGGAGACAGACAGCACTTAATTTGATCTTGCAGTCTCACATTTCTGGGCTGGTTAGTTCTGTAACTAGAAAAATGTTCAAGTTGAAAATTTTAGTAGGCTCTAATGATTTTATTGCTTGAAAATCAAACGAAGGCTTTAGAAAATAGGTTAAACTAAAGGCTCAAATAAGATGTTGAAATTATTATTATAAATGATTTTAAATATAGGGAATAGGCTTTTGTTTTATTTAAACTAATGCTAAGACATAATCAACTGAATGTAGAAAACTTGGGAAAAAATGATTTTCTTAAAGGATTTTATGTTTGGTATTCTTTAAGCAAGAATATTGAATTTTATAAGTCAGAAGTTTTAGTATAATGTTTTTGTTTATTTTTCAGCTCACCTCAGGAAATCTCCATGTATGCACAAGTAACTCATCAAAAAGCTGAGGAGATCTATAGATATATTCACTATATATTTGACATGCAAATGTTGCCAAATGATCTTAACAAAGGTAGTTTTAAATCTGATGCATGATCAGACTGCTCAGGTGGGTTGTCAAAGAACCCTCACAATACTAAATGCACTTCAATAATCATTGCTGTGGTTTGTGATTATCAGTTTAAAATATATTAATATTTCCATATCTGTTATTTTACACTGTGTATATTTTTATTTATATAGAATATATAAATGATTAAAAAATCTGATGTTTAATAATCATTTTGGTTAGATAAAACTTTTTTATTGAACAAAAAGCTTATTGAAGGTACTATTAAGTAAAAGCTAGAGTGAAAGATATATTTTAGAATTTTCCCAAAGATTATAGTGCTATCATTGTCATTTGTTAGCATTATAGGTTGATGTGTCTGCTGCCAGCTTAATGGTCATAAACAATTTTTCTCATATATCAACTATATTGAATAGATGTGGGTGGTAGGTGTATTGTGAGATAATGCCCCAGTAACTAGGAAAGTAGAAAATTTAACTGAATCCTAGTTAACAGTCTAATCCTAGTAGTATGAACTCTGATCTATACTACTTTTTTTGGTTGAAGTACCATATTGAAAGAAGTGATATCTTGGAGTTGGAAAATTTCAGTATAGATGAGCTATGGAATGTGGACTTTCATCGTGACCCATAACAGTGTGTCTGTTATGCTACTAATTGTTGGGTAGTTGAACCAACCTCACAGCAGAGGGTTTCACTTAGACTTGGCATGGACTTCAAAGCTGATCTAATTCAAATTGCTTTTCTCGTTCCTTTCTTATCAGATGATAAATGTGAGGCCCAGAAACAAGTGACTTACTCAAGTTTAGATTGGGAAATCTAGAACAAGAACCCAGGAACTAGATAGTTTTCATTCACTAAAAAAGTTGCTCTGATCGTGAACTTAGCTCCTTTGGGATAGTATAAATTCTGAATTCTACTAAAGCAGTTAATCTCTTATTTCTGCTGTTTAATAATTTTGTCAAAGCCAGAAAGAAAAGAAGTTCTATAAATTATTGGCTCATGTGCAGTTCTCAATTTGTTCTCTCTCAGGTTCAAATTCATCCTTCAGTATCTCACTCCATTATAATGGACTGGACTTTTTGAGCATTTCTCCCTAGTGAGCATGATTTAAGCTTTGTCAAGTAGAAGGAGGAAAGGGACTTCTTTTTCTGGTTCCAGTGTGCTGTTTTTTTTGCTGCTACTCACTCCTGTTACATGGTATCAGTGGTGCATTGGGTAGGGACATCTGGTGCTCTGTGCCCTGGCTGCACACCAGAAGCATGCAGTCCCTCAACAACCTCATAGTGCCCTGGACTGATGACCTCCTTGCAGCACATCTCATGCAGACACCAATGTCTTCAGATTCTGTGTGTTCACCCAACAGACAAAATATTTCATAAATTGATATGGTTTGAGGGACATAACCTAGAGGATTTCATTTATTTATGCTTGCTGTGTAGAGACCTCTATCCATATTTAAGCTGCAACGGCCTCTTTCTATACTCTTCACAGGTTGCACTTAACTATCGACCCTATCGTTTATTGATCCGTCTTACTGTCTTTGAGCCCTTCAAGTCTTTCTTTTCCACTTTTAAGTCTCCTTTGGAGGTTACCTTAAACCTTACTAGTTTATCTAATGACCCAATGGAAAGAAACGGGAATAACCAGGTACCTGGAAGGTGGGATACAATAGTTTTGATAGGACACATGGAATATGGGGAGTGGGGGTACGTTGTGGTTTGTGTCAAGTATATGCTATTTCAAAAATTATCTTTTTGTTTCGTATTACAGAATTTAACTACCTTCTAATTTTTTTAAAAATTTTTATTGGAGTATAGTTGATTTACAATGTTGCGAATACCTTCTAATTCTTAAAACACTATCCACTAACATCAAGCAGCATGGTATTACACCAAATATTGGCAACTTAGAGTTCTACAACAGAATTTTTTAGAGCTACTCTAAAATAACCCCCTTTCATTTGTTTCATCCTTCATCTATCAAAAATCTCTGTGGCAGAAACTATCATTGTAGTTTAAAGGAGAGTGATCTGTTTGCTTGCACTATTCTTCTTAAATCTTGTGTTTCTACAAATCCTGTAGTTCTTTAGCTGCTAATTATTACTGACTAAATTCTTAAGAAACAAGAAAGTATACTTTTTCTAACAGTTCTGGTATTTTTCAAGGAAATGAACTGAACCATTAACAAACAAAATGCATTTTTTCTATGATCCAGTAATTAGAAAAACCAACCAAAACATGAATATTATAAAAGCAAATTTACTTTATTTGAACAACCTACCTGGAGAGAAAGAGTGGGTAAATACGTACTATAACCAGAGGAAAAAAAATTCTGTCAAATTTTTTTTTAAAAGAAGATGTTGGGGGTACGAGTTTATTAATTAATTAATTTATTTTTGCTGTGTTGGGTCTTCGTTTCTGTGTGAGGGCTTTCTCTAGTTTGTGGCAAGTGGGGGCCACTCTTCATCACAGTGCGTGGGCCTCTCACTATCGCGGCCTCCCCTGCTGCGGAGCACAGGCTCCAGACACGCAGGCTCAGTACCCGTGGCTCACGCGCCCAGTCGTTCCGCGGCATGTGGGATCCTCCCAGACCAAGGCTCGAACCCGTGTCCCCTGCATTAGCAGGCAGATTCTCAACCACCGCGCCACCAGGGAAGCCCTATGTCAAATTTTAAAGCATAATGGCATAATATGCTAAAAGAAGTTTATTTCTAAAGAAGCTGTCTGAAAGGAAAAACAGTGTTTACTATGACATGACGTAGTAACTTGACTCCTTACAGTAAAAGAGGTATAACCTGAATGTTTGTCTAATCCAGTCTTTTAAATACTGAGACCAAATTTACGCCATGTCTGCTTAAGAATACAACAAAATCTGTTCTCTTATTCTACCTAATAAAAATACTGAAAAAGCAATAAATTAAATTTACGTAGGTTTCATGAATATGCCAATCACAAGTTTTAAGAAAAACAATCAGGAGAAAGCTTGTCAAATGGTTTAAACAACATGTACTGATAACTGAAACATTAGATCAACTCTGGCTTTTATACCAAGTGGTGACAACTGGTAACCTAAAGTTTTCATGAACTCAGTAGCTACCAATACAATCTATTTTTTAATTCTCCCCCACCTCTCCCCTTAAGGATAGCAACATTTTCTTGAATGCTTCTGAAAAAAATCTGTATGGAACATGATTTTCTTAAAGTAAACAGACTAAGATGCTTATGAGAGACATCTATATATAACACATGAAACCTATGAAAAAGAGTCTGCAATTTCATATGAAGCTACATTATAAAAAAAAAAATACATCCTTCAAATGAAGATACAGATACACTGTCTGCTTCTTGATAAACATCCTGGAAGTATTCTCATTTTTACTATGCAGAATCAGAGTTCGAAAAATAAGAATCTTTCTCTTCTTCCTCTAAAGACTCCATAGCATTAGTGAAAAGTTTTCCAATACCAGAGTTTTCTGCTAATTCTGTAAAGAGAAGTTTAACAAAAAGATTAATATATTTCTAAAAACAATTTCAATGAAATTGAAAATAACAGGAAACCAATTGGTAGATCTGCCCACTTGTGAGCAATTAATTTTAATACTATGTTAATAAAGAGACTACCCTATAATAGAACAGAGCTACAAAAGAAAGATGTAAGTATATTACCTTTGTTAAATGGGGTTTTTCTTCTTGATGGTGGAGTTGAAAAATCACTTTCAATCTACAAGAGAGTTCATATTAGCTAAGTGATGCCTCCTCTGAAGCCTGCTTCATATGTAGACAAAATTCAGCATGCTTTACCCCAATAAAACATTACAAACTAATGCTACAGTGGTTAAAGGATAGCCTCTGAAAGTTGCCAAAATCTACTGAGTACTTATTCCATTACACTAGCAAAATTTGAATTCTCTGTACTTTAAATTCTTGGCTAAAATAATAATTTATATGGCAAGTTTTAAGTATATAATGCATGCTTATATATACATCAGTGCTTTTTAAACTACTGGCCATGACTATCTTTAAAAAATGAAAATGAATAGAACAGAAAAGAAAATATGACAGAGTATACCCACTGTACTAAGGATAAGTATTATTGAAAGAAACTTTAGATATACAAACTCGTGTTCATAGATTGCCATGGAAATGTATTTTTTCCTGTGAAATGAGTCAAAACACTATTACAACATTTAGCCCTCAAAAATCATTCAATGAGATAAACCAGTATCATCATGATCAAGAGGAGGAACCAAGATGGGAGAATAGAAGGACATGAAACTCACCTCTTCCCAAAAATACATCAAAAATACATCTACATGGGGAGCATTTTCTCAGGATAGCTTACTGAACACTGACAAAAGGTATCAGACACCCGGAAGTGCAAGAAATATCTCCATATAACCCAGTAGGATGAAAGAAAAAATAAAGGAATTGGGATGAGACCTGCGGCACTGGGAGGGAGCTGGAAAAGGGGAAACGTTCCCGCACCCTGGGAAACCCCTTAACTGGTGGGAAGATCAGCTGGGACAGAAAGGGAGCTTCATAGGCTTGGAAGAGAGCACAGAAGCCAGCTGGTGGCAGGCAGAACAGAGACTAGCACAGAGGATCTGTGCTACCTCACTGCAATCCCCAGCCTGAGATGGTCGCCGTGTGTGTGTGTGTGTGTGTGTGTGTGTGTGTGGAGGGGGGTGGGGGGGGGAGGGAGCAATGGGATGAACGGGTTGGGCTTCAGAGGACACACCTGGGGAGAGTACGGGGTTGGCTAAACGGAGACAGCCTGAAGGGGCTGGAGAGTAGTTATAGGGCCTCAACCGAGGGTATATGTGGAAGAAGCCCAGGCCGCCACAGAAGCAAATCACTGTTGCTAAGGGGTGGGGTGCATGAAGGAAGAGAGGGGCGGGGCCTGCCATAGCATCCTCTTTCTTGGGCTCTGGGAGCAGGACAATGGGTGCTCCTGTGGCTGGGATGGGACTAGCCTCGCAGCTGTAGGCTTTGTGTGTGACTGCACGCAGAGGCAGGGCTGGGGTCTGGGCTGCTTCCATAGCTCCCATGGTGGGTCCAGGTATGTGACTGCTGTGGTCCTGGTACCTAACTTTAGTGGATCTGCGCTGGTGGCTTTGTGAACACAGTGTCTGAGGGACACCACAGCCGACTACCTGCATTCCCACGGTGGAGGCGGGGCCGAGGGCAGTGCCAGTGACAGTGTACTTTGTGGGCTTGCACAGGTGACACACAGAGCGTACCCCCCAGTGGACAGCTCGAGCAATGGAATACTCAGTGGCTCTTCTCTCAGTGGGAGAGCTCCAGTTTCACCTACCTCACACTGCAGCTCAGAAACGGATCTAGGGGCTTCTATTCCAACAACTGGGGAGCAGATGCTGCCCCCAACAGGGCTGTGACAACCAGAGAGCAAAGAAGAGACCCTGCTCAATATCCAGTGCAGGCTCTAGTCACCACACGAGTCATACCCCCTATGAAAAGGACCCCGGCCAGCACACACTGAAGGAAAATGCAGCAGGCATCCCTACTAGAAACAGCCCATGCACCAAAAATATTAGACTTATGCAGGCTACAAAGGGATGCTCCCACATAAAAACAGCCCTTCAAGGCCATATTAAATAATTATTTCTCCTAAGCTCACAGAGTCAGAGAAATAAAAGTAAAATGAAGAAGTAGTGGAACCACTCCCAATTAAAAGATCAAGAGAATTCTCCTGAAAGAACAAAACAGACCTCTTCAGTCTAATAGACACTGACTTCAGAAAGGAAATAATGAAAATACTGAAGGAATTAAGAAGGGCTATTGATAGAAATGAAGATTACTATAAAAAGAAACTAGAAACTATAAAGAGGAACTAAGAAGAATTGGAAAACTTATTTGCCGAGATGAAAGCTGAGCTAAAGGCAATGAATAACAGAATGAATAATGCAGAGGAACAAAGAAGTGATCTGAAAGAATAAGAGAAATCACCCAATTAGAACAGCAGAGAGCCAAATGAAAAGAAAAATGAAACCAACAGAAGAGACCTATAGGATAATATAAAGCATGCCAATCTACACATAACAGGGATCCCAGAAGGAGAAGAAAGAAAAAAGGATATTGAAATGTATCTGAAGAAATTATGGTTGAAAACTTCCCAAACCTAAAGAAGGAAACAGATATCCAGGTACAGGAAGCACAGAGGGTCCCAAACAAGATGAACCCAAACAGACCTACACCAAGATATAATTAAAATGGCACAAGTTAGAGGATTCTAAAGGCAGCAAGAGAAAAACAAAGATTTAATTATAAGGAAACCCTCATAAGGCAATCAGCTGATTTCTCTACATAAACATTGCAGGCCAGAAGGGAATGGCAGGATATAAAGTCCTGAAAGGGAAAACCCTGCAACCTAGGATACTCTACCCAGCAAGATTATCATTTAGAATAGAAGGAGAGATAAAGAATTGCTCAGACAAGCAAAAACTAAGAGTACACCTATCCTAAAGGAAGACCTATCCTAAAAGGTCTTCTCTAAATAGAAAAGAAGCAAGAATCTATAGGAAAGAGAAAATCAAAATTGGAAAGTAAATCAATTAAATAAGCCAGGACACAGACTAAAAAAAAAAAAAAATCAAAAAATTTCTGTGAAAGTGATGATAACCACAATGAACAGCAAAAGGATTAACATGAAGATGTAAAAGAAGACATCAAAATAATAAAAATGTGGGGGAGGAGAGTAAGAAAATGTACATTTTTTTTTCTAGAATGTGTTTGAGCCTATATGACTACCAGTCTAAAGCAAGTAGATATAGGAAGGGGTTAACATACTTGAAAAACAGAGTAACCACAAATCAAAAACATACAATAGATGCACAAAACCCAAAAAGAACACAAGGATAAAGAAAACCATCAAACTGCAAAAGGAAAATGAAAAAGGGACAAAGAAGAAATATAAAATCAATGGAAAAACAAGGTTTAAACAGCAATAAATTCATATCTATCAATAATTACCTTAAATGTCAATGCACTAAATGTTCCAATAAAAAGACACAGAGTGGCAGATCGGATAAAAAAACAAGAACTTACAATATGCTGCCTACAAAGAGACCCACTTTAGGGCAAAGAACACACACAGATTGAAAGTGAGGGGATGGAAAAAGATATTTCATGGAAACGGGAATGAGAAGAAAGCAGAGGCCGCAATACTCATTATCAGACAAAACAGACTTTAAAACAAAGAAAGATAAAGAAGGACACTATAAAATGATAAAATGATCAATACAAGAAGAGGATATTACACTTGTCAATATATATGCACCCAATATAGAAGCACCCAGAGACATAAAACAAATACTAACAGATATAAAGAGAGAAACTGATGGGAATACAATAATAGAGACTTTAACACCTCACTCACATCAATAGACATATCTTT